TCCTCCATGATTGATGACATCGTTTTTATTGTTTATTTAATGATTTGTTGCCTTCACGATGGTCTCGTATCACGTCTTGAAGCTCTCGATAAATTTTTACCTAGTGTTGTAAAAAAGAAGGATACGATAAGGATATATTCTAATTAAAGAACACTAGAAGATTAACGTTATAATGTACCATTGTACCCACATGTTAATGCCATATTAATTGATCCACCTGTTTAACACATCCATAGGTGTGCGATATTCTAAATCTGTAACAAATATTCTATATTCTACATGCTAAATCTTTGGCTTACAAAGCTAATAAATTGACTTGAAATCCATCGTCAATGTTTTCACAGGGAATTATTATTTTAAAGAATGTTGTTTTCGAAGTTTCGAATTTTCGCAGATTTACCAAAAGAGAAAGGAATGCACTTTTCACGTAAATCAATGAAGTAGACTAGTTTCCTCAAGTTCCATGGTGTTATTGCATTCGGAGTGAACGATAGGACGTTGATAACAACCTTTACAGTATATTTCCTTGTGCGTTGTGAAGTCGATGCCTGCTAGTATGACTGATGCTACTATTAATTAAGCTGTTTCTTGTTTATTGAATGTGACATTACTTAGATTGATCTTACAATTCGGTCATCATGGATCAAACACGACGGTAACACTTCAGAAGCACATCGCCTTATCTTTGTACATTCCGAGTGTACCAGTGTAAAAGTTTCATTTGATATCATTTTGCTTTGTTTTAAATAAACTAGGAATGTTTTTGTTACATATGCCGTACGCTGTCGCTGTTACAAGTGAATTATTCTCTATACAATGTACTATACCTCGGCCAGAAGTTGCGAACCACTAATATCTTCAATGAAAACTCAATAACATCAAAGGTAACCATACACTGCCGACAGATAGAAAACAAATACACAACCTGAAGTACTGTATCATTTTTAGACTTGTTTTCCCAAAGGCCTTCCTAAAGTCTAGAAAAATGTTTAACTCAAACTGTCTCTTATTAACAGATACATCATCAAAACATATTACTTCATCAACGAGGTATATTGGGTATGAATATGTCAATATCGAATGCAGCCAACATGCCCCTGGAAAAAATCGTGATTCTTTAAATTTTCACTGTTAAATCGATAGTCCTTTATATATGACCTTGTGTATATATATGATTGAATGTATTGAACTGATGGGCCGATGGCCTTCAGTTTTGAATAAATGTTGAATTATATATTTTGTTGGTACTTGAGTATTCTGTTATTGTACTGTGCTTGATGGATCCCACTTCCAGACAGATCAAGCACACTGTTTGTCATCTCTCTGTCTGAAGTGCAGTACGGGCATTGCAATGAATTCTGATTTTATATTCTCTATGAAAGATTGTTATCGCTATCTCTTGAATAATGCTCAATGGATCTTTCTCAAATTTCATATGTAGATTCCTCTTGGCGCCTAGTTATGCCATTCATTTGATTTTGGGAATGACTAAAAAAAAAAAAAGTTTGTTTGGCGACCATCTTAGATTTGGCAGTTAAATATTACCTTTTTAAAGAGGAATTTAAAAATTGTACATGACTAAGAGATAAAACTGAGAAAAGAAGAAAATATCCATGACCAAATAAAGTTGAAACGATGATATGTCCCAAGACCCCTTCAGCGTTTCCCTTTTCTATGACATACATTTTTTTGAAAATGCACTGAAAAAAATACAAAATCACACCAGTGAATAACACCTTTCAAGGTATAATTATAATTAGATACAGTAAACCCAACTTATTAAATTGTTTCATCCTTTTAGAACCCGTCTGTGGTGCTAAGTGTCTAAATTTTTAACTCTTAATGGTGACTGAAGTAAACTGAACTTGACCGAAACAGATGTAGAGAAATTGATAGGTAGGTGCTTCAGTCCCTTTATTCAATACAGTATGGTATTTTGGTATGTGCATGTAAATGAGATGTTATTCGAATTTAAACGTGGCGCACAGGTAACGGCAAACCGTCCTCATGTTTATAACATGCATGTATGATGAAATAAACCTTTGCCAATAGCAGAGTTACATCATTAGGATGTCTCTCATAGTTTGTATCTATCCCTACAGACTACACAACGCTGACGAAGATGTTATTATATATTCCCAGACATTCACTATCCATGTTTAACATGTATCACGGCGTTGAATGATGTAGCCAGAAAAAGATTTTCTTTATTTTATCGACGGTATAATGTACCACTTAGTGTGATGTATGCCGTATTTGGCAACCCCATCCTTTTCCAATCAATACACACTATTTATCATTGGGATCACGAGGTTATGCGAACGAGTTATAGTGTCTCACCGCAGATAATTCAGATATACATATTCTTGCATCAATCCCTTCGGTGGTTTGTTTTGCTTTGGTTCTAGAGAAATGTAACCGAATTTACCTCTACTTTGTACATAAAAAACAAACTTGTAGGTATAAATATGGTATAAACAGCTGATCAAACGACAGTTATTGAATAGATTAAATACGTTTCGATAATTATTTCCATGACAATGCCATCTAATTCTCTATTATTCTGCTCGATTGTGCTCGTGAAAGGTTTCATTGGAGGTTTTAAAAAGTACAGTTATAATTTTGTAATCAAGTAATGGATACAATATGATGAATACAGTATCAATACAGTATGTTTACATTGAAAGTTTAACAAGACTGAACATCATTTCTGTTACAGAGTTCCAGCACCTTTTTTGGGAGAGGTTGAAAGCAAATTTAGAATAATGTATACAAGTGATCGGGAGATTTTGGTGTCACAAGAGGGTTGTTTCTTTATAGATCACTCCACGAAAATACATACGTTACATTCTGTAGACATCCAAATCATTTATAAAGTGATAAGTGGGGATATTTTTCTCTAATGGGTGAAAATGCAAGATATATAAATGAGAATAATGAAAATAATAGCATTGTATCATTCAGGTACATTTTCATTTCAGCACATGGTAATTACCGACATAAAAGTATCATAATATCCAGACTACATATAACTCAGTCTGGCGCACATTATTGGTTGTCATAGTAACATACCATACAAACGACGTAATGGTATTAAAGCTTTATTTATGTATTCAAAGCTGCGATACGACTAAAACAAGTTATGAAAACGCTTTGATATCTTAATAACAAGATTAGTACCGGTTCATTTTAAACAAGAGGCCCAACGGGCCTGTAACGCTCACCTGCTTAGTAGTTATTCGATTCTGATAACTTTCATGTTTATCCTCTTCCTTATATTATGTATGTTATAGGGGATATATTGAAAATATTGGCCTCATAGTTGTTGAGAAGATATATTTGAACTTTGTGGGATCGAAAATGATCCAAAGTCATTCATTTGAAGAAAGTTTACAGCCCTTTGTCAAAGCGAGATGTCAGAACTATACCGTAACATTGGCTTCTTGATAATAGAGAAATCATTTGTTAGCTTTTAGCACAATTGCATGACTTTGAACGTTGGTCAAGGCCTTTCAAGTGAACATGATAGTCATTCTTTTTAGAATGCTACTGGCTTAATATCATATGTACCTCTTGTTTATTAAGAACACCTGCCGGACAGGTGAGCAAACAGAGCTTTGTATTTCAGTCGTGTTTAACTTCAGAATCACTTATCCGTGTATTTTATGCATGTTTTCATGACGAACAACGAAAATAATTTTTCTGTCTTTCTAGTTTTTTTTTATTACGTACTCAGATCATTATTATTAATATTTTTTTGTTCATTGGATATCAAAGTCATCAGGTCTGTGGTTTATTGGTAATGATCCTTGTGGAACTTGTGTTCATTTGTGTCCATCAGATGATACATTCTACATAAGAATATATTTTAATGTAGGATTAACGGATTAATGTGCATTTGGGCGATGAGTCAACGTTGTCACGTGGAAGCATGTTTTGTGTATAGATAAATCTAATGTCACTCTCACGCTGTGTGAATGATATCGTGTAATCTAAATCATGATATATTTAAACATATTTCTCAATATGATAACGACCAAAATAAAAATGATATATCTCGTATTTCCGATGGCTGTATGAAACTGTTGAGATTTTCGAAATCACCAGTATTTTGTCATCATACGCATGTATATCCACGAGTAACTGTTTAACTGAAGGAAGTACCGATTCGAATTCCATATTCATCTACATCATTCCCTCGGCATCGCTTAGATGTGTTTTAGTTTGGGAACTTGTATACACCTCTCGGGTGTTTCCGCCCCGGGCTCCTATCCCCAAAGGGGAAAGAAGTGGACAGAGCCTAATACCGCACACTGGATTCCAAATATATAATATGTATGAATTAGTTATTAACCGAAAATTTACAGTAAACCTTGATTTCACCTGTGTAAAAACCAACTGTTTCCCTATATGTCATAACAAAATTCAAAATAGATTTACTGTACAAACCTGTTACCATTGTAAACAACATGCTGAAGAGCATTAGAAATGCTCTTAGCATAAAAAGGAATATTCCGAGTGTGTAAGCAAACTCCAATACACATGATGTTGACAAAAATTACGCTTTCTCTGAAAAGTTTTTTTCTGCTTACAGAAAAAAATATCGGAACTTAAGTGAAAAAATGTTTTGACAATTTACATTTGATGAATCTTGTAATTGTTTTAGTTCACTATTAAAATGTTTGTATTTCACATTCCAACACGTGTCATGTTGTTCTTACTCCCTGCCTTGTTACTTCTCACGAGGCAAACGAAAAAAGATATACTGTGGCGCCACCTGTTGAGTGATGCTATAATTAGGGGAATGTAAGCCGTACTTTTCATCACAGAACAGTTATTAACAACAAACATTCTGTTATATTACCTTCCACAATCATCACTGTTCTGTTCCACTCTTATCATAACAAGCATAATTCATTAAGTCTAATAACAAATGCGGAGGTAAGAATGATAGTACCAAATTAGTAGACAAGGGTAAAAAATAAAACATCCGACAGACAACAAATTAACGATGGAGTTTATGTATATCATCCATCCCTTTATAATAAACCAGAAAAATGCATATTTCATGTAAACGTATACGTTTGAACTATATACAGTCATTACATATTACAGAAGTGCCTTTACTCAGCCTGCTGTGTATCTGCTAAAGCCATTGATACAGTAGCAGGTTTACTTTTTCTCTGAAAATAGTAAAATTAATATAAATATTATAGCTATTATAATGAACAAAATAATTTGCATAATTTTCCCAGTTTGTCAATTTCATCACGATGTTGATTGAATGTTCAACCTCGGATATTAAACTCTTAAACTCTTGTGTGAAAGAGAAAATATACCAATAAAAATTACGTAACTAGTAAAAATAATTGACGGTACAAATATGACAAATAAATCGTGATGTTATAAGAATTTATATAATTAATATTGATGAATCTCTTTTCACATAGGCCAAATTAGAATAGTGATGCTCAGATCGTCCTGCGTTCTTTTGGAGGAATGTAATAGCGCTCAACCTTGTACAGGCCCACAAGTCCACACCACCGCTGTCGCAGCCTGTCCGAGAACTCTTTAGCGTGATTTAGGAAGTTCAAGCCTTCCTCGCACTCACACAGAACTAGGTACGAAAAAGGGTCTGTACTGGTGGTCGTTCGAAGGAACGTTATACGGCGAATATTTAACTGTTTCGGACACTTCCATAGAATGTAATTTGCTCCACTCCAAACTTTCCATATTTTCTCCAAATTTTGAGTCTGTTCTGTTGCCCTGAATGAAGATAAAATGTAAACACTATCCTTGCTGACCGGCGTCCGAGGAAGTTGACTGACGTCATTCCGGGCGATACATTCCAATTCATCATAGCAGCCTGTAAAAATGAAAACGAAGTCACAGCTTAAAAAAAACCCAAGAAAATACCAACATGTCAACATAATTATAATCCAAACTTTAATTCAATAAAACTAGGAAAAACTGTATGCTTCATCGACAACACCCGAGATGTAAATCTTGGTCTATCCCAGTAAGTAATGTCACGTTCTCAAAAATGAGAACACGGTATAAAACAAAGGAACCAACAGGCAAACTAATGAGCATCAAGCAGGAACATCATGGAGTGGAGCATCAAACACCAACCATCACTATGACGACTGTAAATCTTCTCCATGTTTTGCATGCTTAGTGTATTTCGGGACAAAACTTCAGGGAACAGCTCTCAGCGAACTGATAACACTGATATTATAACTATAATAATGACGTATTTATATATAGGACTGGTCTAATGTTTTGGAATTATACAAATGTAATTCATGCACATTTTAGCAAAACAAGGGTCATTGTCACGTGTCATAACAATAATATGGTGGATTGACTCAATTGTTGAAGGAATATCATTGCACACAATTTCAATATTAAGTGTTTACTAAAAACTCCCACAAAAATTTTCTTGTGGGTCTATCATAAGGTCTGGTTAACCAGGATAAATTTCTAAAACGTCCAAGGATACCGTCGCCAAGTGTTCTATGTCATTTTGCTGTCATTTTTATTAAAATACTGACATTTTACCAGGGGATTGAATTCCAAGCCGACAATTTTCCAAGGCTGAAGGTTTACCGGGCTGATGATCCAGACTGGCAGTTCATCAGGGTTGAATGTCTAGATTGACAGTTTACTGAAGCTGAAATTTTACGAGGTTGAATGTCCAGACTGTCATTTTACCACGGCTGAAGTTTTACCAGGGTTTAAGTTCCAGACTGCCAGTTTACAGGAGTTTCAGACCAGACGGCAAGCTAATTAAATGAATTTTCGAATGATGCTTCATAACACAAGTTAATCTCTTGGAAATCACTTTTACTTAATTTGCTCTCGTCTGCCAAAGAGATAGGGCTTTGGTGATTAACGCAACACTAATATTTTTATTTTATCTTGATTGCATTCCGAAAATAGTCTTTTGTTGAGTTCTAATGATTAAAACCTTGATTATGAAACATCTAAACCATCATTACAACAACCAAAAGCTCGCAATTTAACATTCCATTACCTAACAATAACGGTGTAAATAAACATCTGCTCTTTCACTTGCAACGTTAATATACCGGATATATTGTTGTCGTGCGTCAAACGTACAATTTATGTAGCTAGAAATTGCTGGACCGGGAGGTTTTGGATATATTGCCTTTAATCTATACCCTTCTGCCTAAAAAGTCTTTTATTTACACATTGTAAAGGTCATGTGACCCCGAGACTCTTTATACTGAATACGAGTAATTTTAGCATTGGACTGTTTGGTTATGGTATTGATGATCGATATGAATGACAAAAGAAGACATAATATATGCGCTCTTATATGCCATTTGCCTGCCTAGCTATGTCATTTACAACGCAAATGAATGACAACAAAACAAAATAGTTCAATATCTATATTTACTTTCCATATCAATATTGTTGTCTGATGCTTATCATAGCCGATTAAAACTGAAATAAATTATTCATTTGCGACAGTGTTATCCGTTAGGTTAAACAGATATTTTGATACTGAAGCATTCACAGTCTTTTACAAACAATACTGATGGTCACGCGCCGTATGTCTTTTATGGACGTCAAATCACACTCTTTTCTGGTTACTTTATATACCCAGTAGCACAGCCGTGGAAATGTAATGTTAAAATAAATCTTTTAAATTTTCATTTATACACTTGTCCGTATGTTAAGGACCACCCATATTTTAGACTTGGCTTAATCTTATTCGCTCTATTTAGGGAAAATCAATGAGAACTAAAAAGTATATAAAGGATATTTTAGGCATGTAGCGAAACTTTATACAGTCGATAGGAAAATAAATTTACAGAGAGTGATGCATTGCTCAAAGGCCGTTCCAAAAGTGTAGAAAAATGACGTATGTTGTGAATGAAAATGTCAATTTTGGGTCTAGCCACCAACTTTTGGAACAATTCTAGCGCCCATCGTCTCATACCATGGGGCGGACGCCGAAGCTTGTTCTGAAGAAATCTTTACCACTTCTGAATCAGAGCAACCCGTAATTCTCCAGTTGTTTGGAATTTGGGATTCCGTGCATTTTCCCACACAAGGTCGATTGAGTTCAGGAGGACATGGGAAGGTCTCTATTACTTCTTATTGAATATGGTCTTGGACTAGACGGACTTTCTGTGTTTTTGAGTTGTCATTAGAATAGGCCGATCTGCCAATAACTAAAGGATCTGATCACGGTGCTTTTGCCCATTTACAGCTTCATCAAGGACATGTAAGCAAAGCTTAAAGTTTGGAGAAAAGCATCCAACCCAGCAACATTGCCACTACCACATGCTGTTGTGTCCAGAAAGTGATTCTTATTGTGTGCCGCATTTCGTAGTCTGTCCGTCTCTCTGTTCGACCATGTAAAAAATCATCTTTGAAAACAATATTTCAAATCGCGTTAATTTTGGAACAAACTAAACGCACTTAATTATTTTTTCAAACGCGCCAAAAGCCTAGTCAACGCACTTTGAAAAATTCTTTCAAATGGCGTTAATAATAGGACCAAGTCAACAAATTTTGAAAAAGAAAAATTCAAAGCGGGTTATAAAATGTGATATTGCAACCCACTTTGAAAAATTGCTCACTTTGATTTGTTTTTCAAATTGCGTCAAAAACTGGGCACTTTGAAAACAGAGGACACTTTACTGGTCGTCGAAATGGAAGTCGTCTTTTCTTCAAATGTCTGTTGGTGATACGCCAGCTAACGGTAACATTGACGTTCCACTGTCCTCTGGGCCTGTTGGCAGCGGTACCTGTATACACTGAAGTCTATTTTCTATATCTGCAATCTTCCAATGTCTGCCAGACCTGGGACGCTCGTCAACAAGCCCGATTTCGTTTAGACGCTGCTTTAATCAAGAAATAACAGAATGGCTTTGATGCAACTACTTGAGTGCATGTCATATCACTTTGAACCATTCCAGAAGCTTGCCATCTATCAGCATTTGTCAATTTTTGACGCGCCAATTTTAAAAACAGTATGAGCACCTGTAACATTTATCAGTAATATACGTGCAGACACCGCATTAGGTGGCAAAGTCATTTGTTAGAGTACGGAGTATCCCTACTCAATTTGGGTTATCGTTTGGTTAGGTGTCGTTTGGTGGCATACGGCACCAAAGACAGAAGGTAGACACTGCAAGGAGAACGATATTTTCATAAAAAAGGAAAATGAAATTATGGCAAAGTGCATTCATTTATTCTATTGGGTTCCCTACCTTTTTACCTATACAACACAAGGTACCATTTTTGTCCTAAGATCCTCCATATCATCATGATAATCACCAGACCTACTTTCATGGAGAAAATATTGAATTATCTATCGATAACTTCCAATTTCGCTTGAGATAAACATTTTACTAACGCCATTTCATGTTCCTGATTAGCAAATTAACAGATGAATATTAACTTTATCAGTTCTATGCCCATATGATACCCTATTTATTTCCCTCCATGAGTTTATGCATTTCAATTAATGTGCAAAAAAATGTTTCGCTAAAAAATCCTTTTTATCTATACAAATTTGGTAACGCTTTGAAAACATTCATCCCCTATTGCCACCATTGGACAAGATATCTCACATTAATCACAGAGTTTCTATGTTTAATTAGGTAAACAAAAACCTTCACTCATGAAGAAGTATTTTTTCGTAAGATTGATTACCTTTTCACTTTCCATCGGTCTCGCTGCTCTTATAGAACATTTTTCCATGATCATCAAATGCTGTTTAAATTTATTCGGGATTCCAACAGCTATTCTGTGGTAATAGGCTTTAAAACGAAATGCTTTTCAACGGACACCGATAATGCTCTACTACAATTGTCATACAGAAATTATAACTTAATTTAAAGTATAATTACCAAACAAAATGTATACAGATAAGTAGATTTCATTGTTTCCAAGACAACCGTTAATTATCAAACATTTGCCACAAAGATTGTTTACAATAATTATCTAAATTTTGCTAATTTGTTGAAATTCTTTTATCGGAATGAACTGATGATAACATCTGTATGAAATACTGACCTGGCTCGCTCACCCTTCTCGGAGGTATATCTGTAGAGTACTGGTGGTTCTGAACACGCAGCACATTATTGACCGGAAGTGTCGTGTTAAGTTCCTGGAATGTTACACTGTCTGATGTTCTGATCCCGCCATAAAACACAGAGTAGTCGACGTACAAAAATGGCGCTGTAATAAAAATAACAAATGACATTTTACGACAGTTCTTTCCTGGTAATTATACATAATTTTCTGAGAAATTGCACTTTTGTTACCTCGTAAATACAACGCCTAATAAATATTCATTATTGAACAAAGCTTGACGCATAGAAGCTATAAGAAGTTTTAGCGTGACATTTAAAACTCTCAAATTCTATTCCTCCCTCGGGGAATGGCTGGTATATATTTAGGGAACATGTGTGCATGTAAGCACTTAGAAAACCCATGTTACTCTAATTTTGTGTCACTTATTATGTAAGTAATACGGGTCCTTCTGAGAGCATCGCTGGCAGTAGGCCACTACATTTCCCTTGCTTCTGAACGGCAACCACGGTAGATAAATAATGCTGTTAAATAGATCTACTTAAATCCAAGCCACCTAGAAACCTTCTCTAAGTCCCTCGAGTATAGCCGGAACCGTTACTGTGGTGGCCTATATATCAACACTCCAAACGAAGCAAGCTTCTTGCTAATCTGGCATTATCTTTATTACATGGAAAATGGCGTAAATAGGAAAATAAATAGATATTACGACCAACAATCATACCGAAACGTTTGAAATTATTTAATGCTATGCTTGATGTACAAGAATAGTTTTCTGGTTTATTTAACTCATGGGTTATATATGACCCGAAAACATCATTACGTTTATGCTCAAGCGTAAAGTTGTACTTAAATCGAAATAGGTGCTAATGAGCAGTCATTTCAACAGACTGTAAATGTTTTGATGAAAAACTATATATTCTTTTACGTTAAATGCACATAATCATACAATAAAACACCTTTCACATTCGACTGACTGACTGTGTTGGTAATCGAATCTACAAAAAAGAGGTTAAATAGAAATGCAGAGATGAATACCTATATCAGTCTTGCTGGACAAAGCAAAGTGTATTTTTACTTTCCAGAATGCGTTGAGTCACTTCACAAGTTGTTACATGTAAGCAATGTAAGATGATTGGAGTGTAGATGCAGCATAATATGACTAGGTACAGATTAGGATGGATATTTACGATACTGTCTCCACATTTGAGATAAAGACTGTTCTGTAGTCATCTTTCATAAAAAACAAGTGTTCACACAGGAAAAAGGATCCTATTGTTAGATTAAACAGAAAGTACATAGAGTACAACTGATACACATTGAGGATTCGAAAACAAGTACAAACACTGATATCAATCCGCCTTCCTTTTTATTTTTTTTGGCAAGATGACAGTGTTGTACTTGTATCAGTAATATGGATTGGTAAAAGGTAAGAAAAGAAGAAAGCGTGCAAGTATTTGGCAAGAAATTAGGACATTACAAACGAACTGCATTACTGAAAAGATAGATGGGGATGTGTTAGCTGCATGTCATGATACGAATCTACATAATGCTATATTGAAGGATGCCGATCTACTCTTTCCGGACGCTGCTGTTACTATGCGCAGGTATATGTATGTGGAATCCACTAAAATTTTATCATGAGTGCAAGGCATTTTACTTTAAATCCTTACACTTACAGAGTAATATTCTTCTTAAAATCCGCACTTACATTGATGAATGTTATAAAATCGACGTCATTGCATTTCTTCGTGGTTGTTCTCGGACACCGCTATATGTAATGATATAGCATCCATTAAGAAGATTAAAACTCTTACGCCTTTTATCTGGAGACCGACTTAAGTGTGTATCGTCTCGCTATGACGTCGCTCAGGGGCCAACGTTGAAAGGACCGAAATAAAAGTAGTTTTAAACATTTAATGTCACCTGAGACATCTTGACGTTTTATGTAAGAGGAACTCAATGACAAACAGAATGAAAAAAAAATCTTGTCTTCCAGTCAAGCTGGGTTTTTTTTTCGTTCTATTCCAAGATGTTATTATCAAATTACAATCAGCTGATTTCACGATGCAGGCAATTAGTGTAATTAAAAAGAAGGAAAAAAAGAGAAAAAAGTAGGATTGGTTCGTACAGTACATATATATGACGAAGTGAGAAAACAGCAATACATCCCAGGGTGCATCAGGAGCAGTTTCCTGTCACAACACCTCACAATTAATCGTTCAATATCATCCATCGTTAAACATTCATCAATAATTCAATCAATTGACGGAAGACGCCGCAGTTTACAGTAAACCCGATATTTTACAAAGGAAATAACACATAAAGCTAAGACACCAAAATAAAAAGACAGAAACTAACAATCCTATGACACAAAGGCCACCACCGGAAACTAAAGACAGTATTACTTACAATACAACTAAGTATATTTACTGGACCTGCTAGTTCTGTTATATTGAAAATGATCCTCATTTGAGAATGTGACAATTTAGTGATTACCACTGATCACGATTAACATGGCGGACGCCGGTGGTGGAGCAAAGCACGTTTGTATCAAGTAACAAACGGTCTGATCTCCTTCAAGGTTTCAAAGATATATTTCAGTCCTAGGTTTCAAAATTTAGCAGTACTGACGAATCCTATAAGGACCTATCAGTTTGAACCCTAAATTGTATTTAGGATGATGTTTGTGTTCGTGTAATATTGTTAACATCTCTGAATTTTCTTTGTGCAATATTGTATATGTATCTCGCAATTTTCTTGGTGCAATATTTTTCACATCTCGGAATTTTCTTGTGTTGGACTGAGTAGCAAACACAATATAAACACACTTCGTAATTTCATTCTAGTTAAATACATTTATGTATATATAGTGCCTAAGGCAAACTGACACATGCATTCCTGTCGAAAGATTTTTTCCCTTACATCTTCGGCTCTCAAAGAACATGGCAACATAATCCAAACTCAAATCAATAAAACTAGGACAAATATGAACAAAGGAAAGATTTAAACGGAGACCCCTGAAAAAGTACATGGATAATATCACTTGGTGTTCCGGAAGAGTAAGCGTCTTTTGCTTCATCGATGACACCTATCAAGTAGACCTTGCTCAATCCAACTAAGTAGTGTCACGGTCTCATTTAGAACACGGTATACAACAACGGAACAAACAGGCAAACTAACAAGCATCAAACACGCCCAATTTCATACCACACAGAGACGTTTCTCAATGATATCACTATGACGACCATAAAACTTCCTCATAATTTTCGTCAACCTGCCTCTTTTGAACTCCTGTGTTACGAGTTTGTCCGTCAGTGGACAACTTCTTGCATGAATATCGTGATAAATTATTCATCTGTTTAACTCAGTAGATATCAACATAGCTGTGCTAGAGATATGCGATCTACAATATCAACTTACTGTCAGGGACACAACATCTATACAGCTGTTTGGACCAATATAGCCCTGTTTACATTTGTAGGACTACGCGTGCGACAGAAGTTTAAAAATCTAACCTTATCAGCTAAACTTTTCTAGTACACAACGTTAAGAAGATCCATACATTCGTAACACATTTTTTTTGTTATTTCTTCAATACGACTAATTAATTAATAGAATTACATAACACAAAAGTCTATGTATGATAACATCTAGGTAATGTATCAGCCGGCGGGCGTCCTAGCAATCTAGTATAGTAAAAACATCATAACATCCCACTTCAAAGAATAAAGTACTCTGAGAACATCATCACCACACTCTTCTACATTGCATCATTTATTTATTACATATTTTCCGGTTATGATGAAGTGAGAAAATGCATTAGACGGCATGTGTTCTTTATACGAAACTGATAGCTTTATCTGTGTAACAAGTGGTACGTTCAACAATATATACATTGTCTTATATACAAACGATCACAGATACAGACCACGTCGTTACATAACAAAATTTTTCACAGCTTATTCATGAAAAAATTTACTTTGAAAATCTGACAACAAGTTAACAGAGATTACTTGCAAAAATGGGACGACACACTACAAACACGGGGAAAATGTACGTTACTGTTTATAAACACAACGGGAAACACATTTGAATACAAATTAGTAAATACTGAGAGCAACCCAATGTTAATAAAGTCAATGTCTTTCGAACCTTAGAAGCATATGCAAACAAAAGGTAACATCTGTGCGTGATCTCAATGCTGACCGCAACAAAGGGAAATAATTAAGTCAATTAAGCATTGACCACACCTGGTCTGTTTATTAGAGTACTGTATAGGAAAATCCGCGACGATTTAATTTCACTATCTCATGTTCATGGTCATTAAAGGTACCGCACAACTAAATACTCCGAAATTATTTGCACAGTTGCAAACTTCCAGGAAATACATAGCCATGTTGTGCTGTTAACCGCTTAAGGGGCGTTCCGGGATATCTAATTCCAGCAAGGTAATCCAGGCCTGGACAACCGCGAAATAATAGTACAGTGAAATGAAAGAAGTATATAGTAGTTTAGGCGTTACAGACTGACAGTTCAATATCTGGTAAAATGACACCCCTTTATCTCTCTATTAATTACATACTCAGTTGTATAAAAGAATATTGAACAATTACATTATGGCTCTACCAATGTTTTCAAATATGGTGTTCTCAGCTCTTTTTTTATTACGTCCGTACAGATTGACTTTGATGGAAAAAAGGTTTGCTAGTGTCAGTGTATACCATTAATGAACCAGAGGACATCATATAGACAGATGATGCCGGGGATTCTAACGAAGAGTGGATGGTGATAAAGAGGACGCGACACTACAATACAGAAAGGTTTTGTTATTTATCGCTGTCTAATCAAACTAAATGGATTAGAGTGTTATCCGTAGGGAACATGACATGATACAGACAACAATATATTAATATCAGAAATCAGAAATTAGATCAAAACGTGTCAAATGAAATATAATTTACGAAATTACTTTTGATTATGATTTCCTTATTTGATCTGTGTTCACAGCGATGTTTCCCCTTGTGGCTGAAATTTACCGTAATGACGTCGCAGAATAATTTCACCTATACATCACCCTCCCCCAAACACAATGCTGTCAAGTCAAACCATGAATTTTAATTATTTTCCGTGCAAAAAACTTATCT